GGATCACCAACCAATTAGGATCGACCATAAAATACTACAGTTATTGCATGCTTCGCATGCAATAACTATTTATTATTTGGACAAATTTGGACATACTGTATAAAAGTTTATTTGAACAAATTTGGACAAATTTTTGGACACATAAAATTTTATATGTCCATATGTACATGTCCAAACGAAATTTTTATTGGACATAGTCCAAATGCCAACATTGATCATAAATGTATTTCTGCTTGTTATAATTTGAGCGTCCAGGATTATGCTGCGATGTATTATGCGCATAATTTTGTAATTTTTACTACAGTCTGACCTCTTTAAATGCATTGCGGTGGAACCATATGTAAAAATTGAATTACGTAAATGTGCATTTCAGAGAGGTCCTGCATTTAGGGAGGTAAAAATCTATAAGTGTTATATTAGTTGGGCCCAAGTGAAGATATGCATTTAGGGAGACTTTTCATAGAGCGTGCATTTAGGGAGGTTGCATTTAGAAGGGTCTGACTAGGATGGGACGCTGCGCAGGTGGAATATTTCGGAGCTTCGGAGTATTCCGGAATTTATCAATTCTGGCCCGAAATTACCATAATGCGAGCCTGCGCAGTAGATTCAAAAAATCTCCACTGTTCCATGGGTATTGGATGGGTACAAATCCATCAGAACATCCCTAGGTTTGACTGTATATGAAAATCGCATAATTGGCTTACTTTCACGCACATGTGAACAAAAATTGATTGGCTAAAGAAGTAAACCGGTTAGTACATTTATGTTTTTTGTAATTTGTAACACTTGAAAAAAATATTATAACTAGATGATCGTGATACGAAGATTGCCAAATTATGCATGCGACCAGTGATTATTTTTCGCTGTGCGGACTGTGCGACAAAATTTTGCGCATATTTCTTTTGAACAGATGTGAGGATGCCACACAAAAAATTGCCATTTTGTGAGTAGTGCACACACTTGTAAACAGTTGCTTATAGTTTTTCTTTATTTGCGCACAGAAAGTTTCCAGACTGTGCGGTATCCGCACAGTAAATTTTAACTTAAAAATTAACACTGAGTGTTACGATGTAATATATAATTATTGGGTGCGAGGCAGCCAATAACGAGAATTATTTATAAAATAATTTATTATCTGGCTATGAAATTTAATATGTCAACTTCTGGGCCCCGAAGAGGTCCAGAAATGACATATTAAATTCGCTGTCTGATAAACAAGTATTGGTTGCGTAGCATACAATAACGGTGTTATCCGGTTGTTTACGACGATTGTGCTTGCTTAAGTGACTCGAGTTTTTGGCAATGATTACGTAAGCTGCCAAATAACTTCGTTATTTGGCAGGTGACGTAACCATTGCCAAATACATGATATTTTTTACATGAAATTACGTAATCAATTTTGCGAAAAAACTTCACATGGTCATATTAACTATCCAATAACAACATTATTGAACATACGTACGACAAATAACAGGAAATTTTTTCTCATCGGAGTTAATTTCACTCATGTGCTGCGCAGCAGCACATGGAGAGCGAGGTCGCAGACATATGAGGCCGAAAAAAATTTAAATTCGTTTACTTTAGGGTTAGGGCGATGCCTGGGATTTAGTAAGGTATTTTATATATGCAAAATTTAGCAAGGAATTTTTTTTGTTAGAGCATAAAAGGCGGTTTCTTATGCAAATTTTCAAGAAACAGGCGATTTTTTCAAAATGAACGTTTGTTTTGAATTTTTCTGATCGTGTTACGTTACGCAAAATTGTGTCGGAAGATCATATGTCTGCGCCCTCGATTGTCGGTTACGTTAGGACTTTTATCTATGGCGTGTGTGTATTGATTAATTCACTTTCCGATTGAATTCCGAAAGAAGATACGTAGTGGTAGTTTCTTTTAAAAATATTCGAGAAAATCATACACATAATTGAACTTGCTTACAATATTAGAGATCTAACAAGACACTTGTTTTACTATCAGAGAATCATCACATTCAAAAATTTCTATAATTACAATATCGATATGTATGTTGAGTATTAAATTTCATAAAATCAAATCTTGTGTCAGTTTCTAGTAGGGTCAAACATATTATTTTGGCATGTTTTGTGTACAAAAGCTTGGGCCTATTATTTCACTGAAAATCAAAATTTGAAACATGCATTTATTGTTAGACAACACTTCATGGTTTGTACGTATGTACGTACATGTGGCCAAAGCGTCGCTGATCAAATTATGTCTACAATTTCTGTCCTCATTTTGCGAGACTTTTTGAGCTTGACTTTATTTAAAAGTTTTTTTTTTTTTTTAACAAGCAGAAGAAAGAAAAAAATAAGCGATGAAAAATAAAATTGTGTTCAATAATTTCTACAAATATAAAAAAATCAAGGAATAAAAAAAGAGTTACTCATTGCCAATTGCATATTTGTCATAGATTGATTATTAAATAAATTAGAAGAATTGAAATGGTCAAAAGGATAAGTAGAATTGTAATTAGGAGGATATATTTCAGTAATTAAATTATTTTCATGAAATTCAAAGTTACAAACACCATTATTTTCATGAGATTCCAAATTACAATCACCATTATTTTCATGAGATTCCAAATTACAATCACCATTAAATGAGATATTTTGAGAGAAGGTAAGTGGCATAATGAAAACGCCGTATATAACTTTTTGAAAACCATTTTGTTGTTGGAATTCTAGCGAAGTTTGTCTTTCATCAAAGTTAAATGAATCGCAAGTGTTATAAATTGTTGTTGTAGGAGCATCATGATTGTATGGGTGTATTAGAGTTGAATCATTGTATAAGACAAAATCATTATTCAAAGGATTTTTGAAATATTCCGTAACACCAAGATCACTTTTATCATTGCATTGTTCATTATCCAAAGGATCTTTAAAATATTCCGTAACACCAAGATCATTGCATTGATCAGTAATTTGAGCGCCGTCAAGTCTATTAATTGACTTTTCTTTGGGACCTCGTTTTCTACCCGGCGCATAATGGCATTTAAGGTTCTTTACTTTACAGGTTTTACAAGGAACCACTCCAGAACACTTTGCATGTTTTCTTTTACAATTGGTACACGCTGCGCTGACGTAAGGTCTTCTTGATTGAATTCTGTCCATGGTACGTAAAAGGTATCTTACAAGAGAATATGAAGTTTGACAAGAAAATAAGAAATTTTGAAAAGATTTTAAAAGTGGTTTAAATATTTTAAATATTTGAGAGAATTTTATGCTTTCAGTAATTTCAGTAATTTCAGTAATTTCAGTAATTTCAGTAATTTCAGTAATTTCAGTAATTTCAGTAATTCAGTAAGTTCAGTAATTTTTATACTTTCAACAATTTCAGTAATTTTATACGTTCAGTAATTTCAGTAATTTTGATACGTTCAGCAATTTCAGTAATTTTTATACTTTCAGCAATTTCAGTAATTTTCGGTATTTTCAATTAAGATCAACATATGCGCATCATGCATAACTTATGTTTATTTAACAAACATCAGTCGTTAATCGGTAAACATAGTCGGGTGTAACAATATGTAAGAAAAAAATCGGATGTAACAGGAGGTTAAAAGAGGCGGATGTAACAAGCGGTAGAGAAAAAAATCGGATGTAACAAGCGATGAGAAAAATCGGATGCAATAGTAATGAAAAAGTAAGCGATAAAAAATATCGGATGCAGGGTGCAGTAAGCGATTAAAAATATCGGATACCAAGTGTGGAAAAATACGATAAAAAATGTCGGGTGTCTGTGTAACAAGCGGCAAAAAAAAAAATTAAATAAAATAAAATAGAAAATAAAAAATCATATGTCGATTGTAACAATGAAACATTGTCGGAACTGCAACAATAACAATAACGGCAATTAAATAATGAAGCATCGGTATCGAGTGTAACTTGTAACTTGTCGGGAACCGTCGGATACTAAACTGAGGGTCGGATGTAACACATAGTACGAGACACCTGATGGTCCCTTATTTTGAAGATTGTAAGGGAACTTACAAACGTGCATACAACTATAATGATCGACTATAATGATAGCCAGTATAAGTTTTATTTTAAACTAAATATGTTTGTTACAAATTCATTTCTTATCATGTGAAATCCTATAGACCAGTTTTTTAACGGACATAACACAGCAGTAATCTCAATATTTATAAGATCTATTAATAAGAGTTAAGATTTAGAATTAGATTATTTTCATATATATAC